TGAGCCACCTTCCCAGCCCCAAAGTTGTCTTTCTTTAACCCAACAAAATGTTCCTCTTTTTTACGTGTGCAGTCACTTATTTTAAATTATTTTTTCAATAAGCACACATTTGTAGTTTGAGGAGGTTCCATCATAATATTTCCATACATGTTTATAAAGAACTTTGAAAAGATTTCCCTCCTCCACAGGCCCATTTCTCCCTCCTTGTTTAGTGTTTGGTGGGTTTCATTATACCTTACTCGTGTGTGTTTGTGTGTGAGTGTGTGTGTGTGTGTGCCCTTGATTTGCAATGCCCCTTGATGTTTTTCACCCTTCAGTATGCCTCCTTCTCCTTTTCATTTTCTCTTTCTGCCAATATTTCTTTTTTTTTTTGGGTGGGGGTGGGTCCAGTTGTGGGATCTGAACTCTGGGCCTGGGCACTGTCCCTCAGCTCTTCAGCTCAAGGCTAGCGCTCTACCACTTGAGCCACAGTGCCACTTCTGACTTTTTTTCTTTTTGCTTATGTGGTGCTGAGGAATCAAACCCAGGGCCTCAGGCATGCAAGGCAAGTGGTCTACCACTGAGCCACCTTCCCAGCCCCATCTTTTTATTTTATTTAATCTTTAAATTCTTCATCTGCATCTAAGTTTTGTGTCAGAGAAGAGATATATTTTGGTGTGGTGTTCAACTTTGTTTAGAATATACCCAGTCCTGTTTCTTCAGGGTGATAATATCAGCTTTTGCAATGATAGACATCGTATTTATTAGCACTTATAAATGTTATAAATGAAGTAAAATAAAGGCAACAGTGGACCCTGTCACCAGTGAGAAGCCACATATTGAAGCCACATGTCATTTGTGTACCATTGAATCTACTCATCAATGCAGGGGATCATCTTAAAAAAAAATGTCTTCCAGTAGTGATGTCGTGTCCACACAAGGACACACCTGAGTTCCAAGCATCAGGACCACCGAAACTCCCTCAAAATCCTTCAACTCAATGATTCAATGGAAAGAATTCTTTTAGTTTCCTTTGCAGCTCAAGTTATGATTCCAATTTAGGCAGATCAATTAAGAATAGACTGCTAATGTGGTCAATTTTCCTTGACCATACTACTATTATGTGAACTCAAACCCTTGGCCACTGATTTTGTGCACCTTTCATTGGGAAGATTTGCAAGTCCAACAAAGCTAGGAGTTTGAGGACTAAGTTGGTTGTTACTTAGATATCTGTCATGACATTCCCTACCTACAGACCAGTGAGAGAACAAGCACCTACCTACTGACTGACTCTCAGGTTGGCTTCTGCAGCATGTTTTCTTTCCTGTGCCAATCTTGGGGCTTGAACTCATGGTGAGGGAGCCGTCCCTGAGCTAGATAGCTCAATACCCTCAGATCTCAGCCTTCTGAGAAGTGTTAGCCATTGGCCCTGGCTTCTAGTATTTGTGTGTGTGTGTGTGTGTGTGTGTATGTGTGTATGTGTGTGAGTGTGTGACATAAACATTTCCTTCCCTGGCTCCAATGAAATCCTCACAAGTTCTCTATTTTTTCCTATTTAGTTTGTATTTTGAAGATATTGATGGCTTATGGGAATGACCAGAGAACAATTGATGTTTAAATTACAACTTTTTATTTGTATTGACAAAATGTATAAAGCTTTAAAATTAGGAGCAGCTGGGGGGGGGGTGAAGGTCAGGGAGGGGAATGAGGAAGGGAAGGGGAAACCAAGAAGGAGGCAACAATGCCTGATAAGACATTTACTCATTACCTTACTTATATAATTGTAACCCCTATGTATGGTATTTTCACAATAAAAAAATTTAGAGCAACTTTCTTCTTAATAGGAAATATATTTTCATAAACAAATAGATCGTTTATTACGTTTCAAATCGTTAGCTTGATTATTAATGCTTTTCACTTTTCTACCCTTATGCATTCTTTAGAAAGCTTTTTAGGTACTATATGACAGATGGTACCTGCATATGTCCATGTATTATAAGGAGAATGCCAAGGAAAGACTTTCCAGTCCCCAATTTTCCTTCCAAAGGAATCCTAATTTACTATATTTTAAAATGACTATGGGCTAAATGATTACTTCTAGAAAATATCTGGTAAAATTCTGAGAATATAATTAGGCACTAGTGTCATATTTTCATGAATATGTTTCACTTCTAAGGGGTGTATAAATATAATACAGAGGACATGCGGAGGGCTGGGTCAGGAAGATTCCCAGATAATGGGCCAGCCTGGTTTGAAGGACTTTGTGAGAAGCTTCAGGACTCCCCTGGGAGGAGCAGGAAGTAAGTACAAGGTTATGATTGGGGTATGTTAAAGAAGGGGAGAGTATCCAATGAAATAATTCGTTTGCTTCAAAAGTTTGCCTTTCCTATTTTGTCAAAATGAATGAAAACAAGCAAAGGGAAAATGTTCATGTTTAATTTTCAGTTACACTTGCATTTCAACTGGAGTATTTTTCCTCTTTTAAATGATTAATACACCATTATTCTTTCCAGATAAACAATTTTCTTAACTACTCTATTTTTAAACTTCTCTCACAAGCATGAGAAAACACATTAAAATATTGTAGCTGTTTTTGTATTTGATTAGAAACTAGATTACTTAAGCCATATTTAGAAACCTTAGTTTAAATATTTGGATGACTGAGTACACATAGAGTTTGACAGCTTGAAGAACAGAATATTTAAAAATAATCAATAATTAAGTGGTTTAGTTTTATCGGTATAAATTGTATATGCAGAAATACTAAAAAGCTTTCAGAGAAACCTGTAGGAATTCTTATTAAGTGTAAGAATTCTTACCTTGAGAAAAGCTTCAAAGATTTTTAAAAAGAAATTGAGTTGAATTTTAAGTATGTAGTATTTTAATTTCTTATCTATTAAGCATTAGTAAGGACACATGTATGAAAACACCATATACACAGTGTTAGGGAAAGATTAATTTAAGTGTTACCAATTTGTATAATGCCAATGATTGTTAAGTTCTTGTACCAGACTTCTTAGAACAATCATACAACCCACAGGATCTTCATTAAGTATAGAAAAACCACTTCAAAGCTCCTAGTCCAACATGATACATTTGATTTTTTAAAATTTAAGCTTTGGAATTATCATTTTATTACACTATAATATGGCAATGTGGAGTTTATAGACAGACATTATTTTTCTTTTCATTTGATAAATGAAAAAAACATGCACAGAAAATCTATGTGATTGATGAAGGGCCTTAATTTTGAATTCATTAAATAACTATGTTCAGTTAGAAGGCTGTTGTGTTTGCTTATGCTGCAGAACTTTTACCAGAAAAGGCCAGTGTTGGACACTGACTGCAAACATAGTGCCCATTCTTTCTTGGAAATTCAAAGGTTATAATTTATTTAAGAAAATTATCTTTTCTATTTAGTAAGTTAGATCGTGTTGGCTTTTCTTCTGTGTGCCAATACTGGGGCTTAGATTGAGGGCCTCATACTCTTGCTTGTCTTTTTCACTAAAGGCTGGCACTCTACCACTTGAACCACATTTCTATTTCCAGATTTTTGCTAGTTACCAAACAACTCTTAGTGATTAAGTTTCTATGTTTGATTATTCAAATAATTCTCCTTCCTAATTATAAAGTGAAATAAACTAAAGTAATAGTACATTTCTTTACTAAAAGACTGGATAGGAAAAAACTTCTTTTCTGGGGAATTTAGCAGTCTTTGGTCCTATAGACGCCTTGGGATAATTAAATTACAGTTTTGCCTAGATTATTCAGTTAAGTGCAATTACTGGCTTGCTAGTAACTCTTGTTCTATATTTCAGAGAAAGTAAATCCTACTGATTGGTTTAGTAGTTCTTCATTTTCAGAACGAAAGACTAGAAGACAGCTTTTTTATTGTTATATTTGGTTGCACTGAGATTTGAACTTGGGCCTCAGACTTGCTAGGAAGGAGCTCTACCATTTGGGTTGCCCACAGCAGTTTATTTTTCAGACAGTGTCCTGTGCTTTTGTGGTTTGGCTGAAAGCCTCCTGAAGTGGCTAAGTTGACAGAGATGCATCATCATGCCTGGCCAAGAGTTAGATCTGAGAAAGAGATCCCTAGTGTGGGGAATGCTAAGAGAAGTATATTTATACATAGTTTAAGTAGTCATTTATACATTTGCTTTGTTTTCAGTTATAGTGTTAAAGTTTTGAAATTAGAAGTAACATTAAGAAAAGCATATAATTTTCCTGTTTCTTATAAACAAGGAAAGAAAAAGTGTGACAAAGGAATGAAAGCAATCTGATGTCTGTGAAGAATGCATAGAATCATCACCACTGCTATTAGTGTCCATTTTCTTCTCAGAGTTTCTCTAACTGAAAAATCCCATAGAAATCTTCATATTGGAGTGGAGTATTCTACCTCAAAGTTTGCTCCACAGCAGAGGCTAGAACAGGGATGAAAACATAGAACTGCCAAATATCTGTTATAGTTATTGTTGCTGTGGCTTTTTCTTAGTGTGTATTTGAGGCACAGTTAGCCTTTTCGGAGAGAATAATTTCAGAAAAATGAAAAAGACATAGAAGCTTATGAAGTCTCCGTGTGCATCTTCTCATTATGGTAGAAAAATAGGAACTTGGAATTAGTAATAGATGCAATTTTCAGCATGAATTTTAGTAGTTTTTATTTCCAAATGAAGACATTTGCTTAATAACAACTGGTTTAGATGAGAAAGAAATAGCAAATACACAACAGAGTGATGAATAATGGGTATAACTCATTTGAACTCTTACGTAAAATTGGCAAGATGTTTTACATAACTTAATTGATTTGACAATCCTGTGTGAGGGGGATAGTTACAGATGGCAAACTTACGCAAAGGATTTAGTCAAACAATTTTTTTGCAAGAAGATTATGATTTTGTAATCAGTTGGGAGCCAATGAAATACAAGCAGAATTTAGTTAATAATCTACAATTACTGGTTAAGGAAGTATATTAGTGCAAATTTCCCTGCATCCATCCTACTTTTCTCTCCTGTCAACCCACAAGCCTTTGGCACAATGAAGTGGGTAACTTTTATTTCCCTCCTCCTTCTTTTCACCTCTGCCTATTCCAGGGGTGTGTTTCGCCGAGAAGCACGTAAGTCATCTGTTTTTTCATTATTCGTTATTTTATTTTCCTAATAAGAGCTTCAGTAAATGATGAGTCTTTAAAAAATTGTCTTCCTTTAGAGGTTTTGTTTTTCTTTTGTCGGTCATAGGGCTTGAACTCTGGGCCTAGGCACTGTCCGCGAACTCTTCAGTTCTGAACCACAGCTCCACTTCCAGTTTTCTGGTGGTTTATTGGAGATAAGAGTCTCGTGGACCTCGACCCTCAGATCTCAGCCTCTTAAGTGGCTAGGATTATAGGCATGAGCCACTGGCACCCTGCATTAGAGTTATTTTTATTATGTGATATTTTGTGTTTGTAAGCTCTTATATAGTTATAAGATTATTATACTTAAAACATACTAGATTAAAAATGGTGCAAATTACTTAATGTTAATAATTTTTGTTAGTACATAAAGGAAAGTGACTTGAGCACAGACTAGTGTTAGAGATAGAATTCATTTGTATCACAAAGGTCTACCTTCAGTTTCATGCTTTATTTTAAAATGCCTGTGTGACTAGCATTAGGAATAGAACTTTCTTTCTTTTTTGGGGGGGGGTCCGGTTGTGGGGCCTAAACTCTGGGCCTGGGCGCTGTCCCTCAGCTCTTCAGCTCAAGGCTAGTGCTCTACCACTTGAGCCACAGTGCCACTGCCGGCTTTTTTCTTTTTGCTTATGTGGTGCTGAGGAATCGAAGCAGGGCCTCATGCATGCAAGGCAAGCGCTCTACCCCTGAGCCACCTTCCCAGCCCCAGGAATAGAACTTTCATTAGTACTTTATTTCAAGGTATCCTTTCAGTAGCTGTTACAGACATTATCAGATCATTAGCTCTTATACAAGTGTTAATACCCATTTATAAGCTATTTCTTTAAATGCAAAAATTAGTTTGCAACCATCCTCAGATGATTAACCTAAGTTAAATGGAAAGATATATATATATATATATATATTCTACCTATCTACCTATCTACCTACCTACCTATCTATCTATCTATCTATCTATCTATCTATCTATCTATCTATCTATCTATCTATCTATCTATCTATCTACCTATCTATCTATCCGTAACATAGTAACTACTTGCTGTGTTCAGTGTTTCAAAATGGTGTTTTCTTCTCCTCCACCAGACAAGAGTGAGATTGCTCATCGATTCAATGATCTGGGAGAACAGCATTTCAAAGGCTTGTAAGTTCAACTACTGAAGATTCTGACTCAGGGTTTCTTCTGGCATTTGTTACTACTTATGGTGCGGATAGAGATCCATCTTCAGGGACTAGACTAGAGAGCAATGTTGTCTGATAAATTGCATTGACAGAAATGTTCTGCCTTTGTGCTGACCAATATGGCAGCCACTGGCCATATGTAGCTATCAAATACTTTAACCATTGTGAGTGAAGTTGAGGAAAATAAGATCAAGTTGTGTTTAATTTTAATTAAATCTAGAGATACACATGGCTAGTGCATACTGTATTAGATATGAAACTTTGAAACTTTTAAATAACCTGGAATTGCTGGAATTCTTATAAGTAGTATGAGAGATGTGTGTAATATATGGCTCATTTGGCAGTTCTCTCTAACTACCTTCTATATAGCAAGTAGTCCTGTGCCTTTCTGTAAATATTTTTAATACTGTTGGGTGTTATTTATAGTGCTGAGGCTATAACTCAGGGTCTACCACATGTGAGTCAAGTACTCTTTCAGAGAGCCAAATCTCCAGCTTTAATAATATTTTAGTAAGAAACAAGACAATGATTTAACTTTGAAAATCAGTATCCTCTTAAAGCCATATAAAATGAAATGATGTATGTGGGTTTGGTATTAAAATAACTCCAAGAACTTATATAATGCCTAGCTTTTACAGATATACAGTTTTCTCTTTTACTCTACACATTTGCATCTACTTCCAGGCACAATATGCACATTAAAATGTGTTATAAATATTTATTCTCTTTTCTTAAAAAAAGAGGCATGGTCAGGCCTCAAAGAGTAGTTGCTATGAATAAACTTTGTGGATATAGTTGTATCTAAAATATTGAATGTGCACATCTGCATGATTTGGTCCCTATGGTAGGTTACTGCTTTGTATCAAATTTGTATTATGCAGCATATTCCCATGTTTCTTGTTTCAGGGTCTTGATCGCCTTTTCTCAATATCTCCAGAAGTGCTCCTATGAAGATCATATAAAATTAGTCAGAGAAGTAACTGAGTTTGCCAAAACTTGTGCTGCTGATGAATCAGCTGAAAACTGTGACAAATCAATTGTAAGTCCATTTGGATTTTGAGGATTGTTTCTTCTATTTAAGTAATTCTGAATATTTCACAAAAATATTTTTCACTTATAATTGTTATTAAACAATCAAATTCATAATCAATGCTCCATAGTTAAAAAAAACAGACTAAGCTATTGTTTCTTCTGGGATGGAGGCATTAGCTGTGTCTACAACTTCAAAAATACTTCTTCATTGAGGCCACACATTACAGCAGTGATGCTTTCTAAAATGGCAATTGGTCACTTGAAAAAAACTCTTTCTAAACTTTGACTCCCTTACATAGAGGCTAGAAGTGATAGATTTTTAAAAAGCATTTATTAATTTTGGGTTTTTAAAAGTAGAAACATGATATCAGAACCACCCTCTTCAATTTTTGTGTGTATAAGGAATTATTAATAAGTCTACATACAATATTATATAACAGATCTTTACAGTTTAATCATCTTGCTAACTGGAATTTTAAATGGATTGATAGCTAACACTCTTATTTCTTTCTTTCCTTGTTTCCCAGCAGCCTTCATTCTTCTCTTTGATTATATAAATTTGACCACTTCAGATCCCTCAGGAAAATTTATCTTTCTATGTCTGGCTTATTATGTATAACGTATTGTCCTCAAAGTTTATCCATGGTTGTATCAGTTGTAAAAATTCCTTCTTTTTACGGGTGATTAGTACTCGGTTGTATGTATATTCAGCATGTGCTTAATTCATTCCCTTACATTTTCTTTATCCATTCATTGGTCTATGGACATTTAACATGTTGACTACTACAAATACTAAGCCATTTTTTATTGATCACTAGACTCTTTTTTCTTTCTTAATGAACATACCCATTTCTCACAGTATTTTAACTCTAAAGATGTTATGGCAGTACAGGGATTCCTAAAATGCATTTAAAAACATAAATTCTGAGTAGAACAGTATCTTCTGTGAGGTTCTAATGACATTTTTAATGAAAATTAATAAGGAAGGACAGGAAATATTGGACCTATTTCCAGTGAACAGTTCTAAATAACAAATGGTTCTATATTTTAATGCAGTAGCAATGTATGATAGAATGGGTTACTCCTTAGTTATAAATGGTATAGCTCCAAAGGTTGAATCTATCAAAAAAGAGCACAGCAAATGGGAAATTGAAAACTTTAATCCCTCATTTATAGTCTCCTGCTATCCCAAAGACTAGTTTTACTTGATTGTTTTTGTCAGAACACTGGCTCTCCTCACTGTGTCCGACAGAAAACAGAATAAATAAACATTCTTTAAAGTCATAAATCTTTCTCTTGTATTCACCATGAGTAAATTGTGGCAATAGATTTTCACAAAAATTACGTAGTTAAAAATTCCATCATTACACTTTCCCAGTTAATTCAAAGGGAACTGAAGAGATGAATTTTTTAAGTTCCTTTTTATTAGTATGATTTAAAAGATCTTATTCCTTTAAAGTTTTATTTTTAAATTTATTTTTAATTGGTACAAAATTGTATGTATTGCTATGCATAGTTTTTAAAAAATACATGCTATATTTTGTTTCAACATGCATATGTATTGTGCATGTGTGTACATACAAAGTATATGATCTCCTAAATCCAGCTTTTGCAACATATTAGATTTTTGTGCTGCTCATTGACTATAAAGGAAACAAAATACTTCTCATTAAGTTCTAGACTTTTCTCTCCCATTTAGCCCACTCTTTTTGGAGATAAACTATGTTCCCTCCAATCTCTTCGTGAAAAATACGGTGAGCTGGCTGACTGCTGTGGTAAACAAGAACCTGAGAGAAATGAATGCTTCTTGCAACACAAAGACGATAGCCCTGACCTGCCACCTTTTGTGAGACCCGCGCCTGATGCCATGTGCACCGCCTTTCAGGAAAATGAGGACAAATTTTTGGGACAGTAAGTAACTGAATGTCTAGGATTCAAAATTTAAAATTAAAATGACAGCAAGTGTCCTACATAAACTATTTTAGACATTAGGTATTTGAGGTTTTGTCCATAGGATGACATTTTAAAGAGGAGTTTTGATATCATAAAACTCTACATATAGAGTTATGATTGGTGATCTTTTGATCTTGAAATAAGATAGAATCTATATAAAAATGTGTGGCATATTTTAAAATATTCTGAAATATATATATATATATATATATATATATATACTATATATAATGTATTTAGGTATTCTCAGGATTGATTTTACGTTGTTAGCCATATTAGGTCATTTACACAGTAGTACTTTTAAACATTTGCATATTATACACACATATGAGGTATGTGTGCACACAAATACAGATGGACAAATTGACAGAAAGTTATCCACGCGCACACACACATTTACCCTTTTGTTCAAAATAGCAAAGATAGGCTATCAGGTACAAATTAAGTTTGATAAATTACAAGTCTGTGGATTTTGAACATTTAGGGAGAAAATATTGACTTTAATTGTTCTTAAAATATTATGTTATTACACAACCATGATTGTCTGTTTTCTTTTTCACAAAATTCAGTTATTTGCATGCAGTGGGCGCAAGACATCCTTACTTCTATGCCCCAGAGCTCCTTTACTATGCTGAGAAGTACAAAGACGTGATGACAGAATGCTGCCAAGCTGCTGACAAAGGGGCTTGCCTGACACCAAAGGTAGTCCTTCAGAAGGAGGAAGAGTCAGCTCACAATGTAGCCTCGGATTTTGACCATTTTATCCTAGATTTCGGTCAAAAGAGCCTTCCCCATTCTGCCCCAAAGATCTTTCATTCTCTCTGTAGGGTCCATCCTTTTCCCTTTTTAGAGGGAGCTGTGCTGATCTGAAAAGGAACCTCCTCCATATGTCTAAATGTCTTAGAACTCAGTGCTGGTGATTGCACCAATAAGGGGTCACAGTTTTTATCTCCTCAGACAATTTGTGTGTGTGTGTGTGTGTGTGTGTGTGTGTGTGTGTGTGTGTATGTGTGTGTGTGTGTGTGTGTGGTGGGGGAATGTGGGGGTTTGGGTGTGGGTGGAGGGAATGCAGAATAGAGAGTTTGTTGTAGCTAAAAGCATAAGTGATCACATGCTTCATTCCCTTCCCTGGGGGAATTAATTGATTTTTAAGAAAACTGGTGGAGGAGGGACTGAAGTGAATTGTGCCAAAGATAGGGTGTGAGTACAGTTTATTTCCTGGGATATTAGCATGTTCTCCAGGCCTTTTCTCTGGGAATATCTCCATGTTGGTTTGTTTATTTGTTTGTTTGTTGCTGTAAAAGGCTTCTACTATGAGCAGAGTGATTTCCCCCCCTCTTTCTACAGAGCAAAGGAATTTATTGCCTTTGGAGTCCATGGGAATTTAGGTGTCAGTTCTCACTTTGGTATATTTTGGTATATTTATGACAGTTTGTTTGGTGGAGAATTTTCTTTTTCTAACTTGTTAAAATGGATTCTCTTTTATAGTTAGATGCATTGAAAGAAAAAGTACTGATGTCATCAGCTCAGCAGAGACTCAAATGTGTCAGTTTGCAGAAATTTGGAGACAGAGCCTTCAAAGCATGGTAAATATTTATAATACAGTTTGTATCTTTATAATGATACATTGAGAATTATTCAGTTGGTAATATTCCACTTACAAGGTATTTAACATACTGTTTCGAATATATAACTTTGTCTTAAAGGTAGCAAGTTAAGTTGGGAAAAATCTGAGGATTGGGGTTTGAAGCCAACCTGAGTAGAAAAGTCCGTAAGACATTTATCTCCAATTAACTAGTAAAAAGCCAGAAGCAGAGCTGTGACTTAAGTGGCAGAAAGCTGCATTTGAGTGAAAATACTCAGGGACCATGTCCAGGCCCTGAGGTCAAGCTCAGGATCAGCAAAGACAAAACAAAACCAAACAAACAAAAAAAAATCCCCAAGCCCAAAACATAGAAAGTTAAGAAAAGTGAATCAGAAGAACACCAGTAATAATTTGAAAGTTCTTGATAATTTGATAATGGTAAGGATTTCTGTCTCCTTTCTTTTAATTTGTCAAGAATTTAGAAGACTTTTTTTTGTCCTAAAATACAGATAAATCACATTGGTGTATAAAGATTGGGGAACTTATTTTATTTTGTCAGTCGTGGGGCTTGAAACTGGGCCTAGAACTGTCCCTCAGCTCTTCAGCTCAAGGTGAGCGCTCTACCACTTGAGCCACAGCACCACTTCTGGTTTTCTGAGTGGATTATTGGAAAGTCTCACGGACAAAGCCCGGGCTGGCTTTGAACGGTGATCTACAGATCTCAGCCTCCTGAGTAGCTAAGAATACAGGCATGAGCCACCAGTGCTTGGCTAATGGTTTATTTTTTTAATAATAGTATAGTCAGGCTCTTTAATTTATCTTTCTTCCTAATCTGAAAATGTCCTTTTATTTCCTAATAATTAAAGTCAACTATCCAATAACTCAAAGTTCCTACTGCTACTGCTCTTATAGCTCTGAATATACTCCTTGTCTCATTCTTTGCTGGAGCTTGTGTTTTATGTTACTTAGCAAATTCTAGGAGCATCCTTCATTATCTGAGACAAGAAAAAAGCTACCTGTTCATTCGACTTCTCCATTCATTGTCCTTCCAATGACTAATACCTCTTAGCCAATGATTAGTTGACTAACCCCTGTTAGTCATCAATGAATCCACCTAGCAGATGAGAAAATGAAAATGATAGATATTCCATGCCATTTAATAATTTATATCTCTGCCAATTATTCTGCGTATCCAAACTACCACTTCTTATCCAGACTAAAGTGCTAAACAAAGCAAACTTATTGAAAATAATGCAAAGTTACACAGGCTGGGATTGGCTATGGGAAAGAAATTTCCTTTGTGAGATTTAAACAACTCTGCAATGAATTTGAAAAAAAAGAACAGTAACCTTTTACCTTCATTATAGAGATTAGAGTCTGTATTAGAGAAATTTCTTGGTAAAAGTATGATTAATAAAAATGGTTCCATCTAATAGAAATTACATGATTTATTTTCTCATTTATTACTTTTTAATACTTTTTATTTATGTTTATTTATTATCGAATATATTATTATTTACATATCTATTATTTATTTGTTGTACTGCTAATAATAATAAAGTCAGATCTGGAAGATAGGGCTCCAAATTTGATACCATTTTCAAAATTTCTATTTGATTTTATGAATCATTGGCTTTTTATCCATTTTACATAGTCTATGGCAATGACTAATTCTGCTTCAGAAAAATGTTAACTTCTTAATTAAAATATAGTACAAAAAACTAACAAAAATTTATCTTTGTCTTGATTTTTTTGTTACAAGTGGTATTTTCCTAGTGATTTCAAATGAAGTATTACATGTTACTAATAGTTTGCTGGGGGAATTCTCTTTTTTTAGGGCAGTATCTCGTATGAGCCAAAAATTTCCCAAAGCTGACTTCGCCGAGGTTTCCAAGCTTGTCACAGATCTGACCAAAATCAACAAGGAGTGCTGCCACGGTGATTTGCTCGAATGTGCCGATGATAGGGTAAAAGGCCATTGATTTATTTTGGGATGATTATGTGTTTCAGTGGTAGAAGGAATGTGTTTACTGTCATGAGTGAGAGCTGATGGCCACTGACCTGGTCTTCTCTGCCGCATTTGCTGTTTCTAAGCTTACGGTGCACTTTTCAATTGCTCTCCTAATTAGGAAGTGACCTGCAAAGGTTGGCTTCTGCCTCTTAATTGAGAATAAAAGCTTAACCTGGAGGAGGAAAACTACATACTAGCTATATATTAGATATTCTGGAGAGATAGGAAGAGTTGGAGAAGGGGCAATATGTCACAGTATGTCACAGATCTGTAGAAATGGGTCCTCTCACTCCTCTGTATTTTCTTTTTGCTAACTTGCAGTTAATTTACAAATATTTGACACAATCTATTTTCCTCTAAAATTTTAATTGGTCATTATTTCAATGATCAGAGATATGAACACATTTCAGAATCTTTATCGTGACATTAGAAAATTTAAGACAGATATTTTTCATATGTAAGCCAGGCCTAGGATTATAATCTTGACTCATTTTTTTCAAGACTCCTATACATTATTTAGGTATTTGGAGTCAATATTTAGGAAATAATGACTTTCAGTTGAAACAGCATTCATGTACTTCTTTTGTAGAAATATAAAATTAATAAATAATTGAAATCAATTAGTTAAAATCAGTAAGTAAACACTATCTTGTTCTTGAGTGGCCTTTTCACCATTGGGTATTGAAATCAGGACTCCCAGTTCTGAAGTGAGTATGCTACTGTATTTGGACCAAACCTACAATCCTTTCTCTTTTAGCTTGTTTTTTTAAGATAGGGTCTTAAGGCTTTATCTAGGTCTGCCTTTTATCTCCACATCTCTGGTATCTGAGATTTTGGCCTAGGCCTGATGCCTGGATTATTTGTTGAGAGAGGGTTTTACTAATTTGGTCTGGCCTTAAATAGCCATTCTCTTATCTTCATCTATGAAGCATTGACTAGTATTTTTTAATAAAAATGTTTTATTCTATCTGAGTTCCATGTATAAGAGCACTGACTGAGATCATGTTCATGTTCATAGGTCTTAGAACACAATAAAATTGTTATGTACAGAAAGTAAAGAGCTAGGAAGTGGTGCTGTGGCTCAAGTGGTAGAATGCTAGCCTTGAGCTGATGAGCTGAGGGACAGTGCTCAGGCCCAGAGTTCAAGCCCCATGACCAACAAAAAGAAAAAGAAAAAAAGATTGACTTCAGAAAGTAACGATCTGGAGAAAAGCACAGTGATGCCAGTTTATGATGAACCATTTTCATCTTGCTGACAGGTGGAACTAGCCAAATACATGTGTGAAAATCAGGATTCAATCTCCAGTAAGCTGAAGGAGTGCTGTGACAAGCCTCTGTTGCAAAAAGCCCACTGCCTGGCTGAGGTAGAAGCAGACGACATGCCTACTGACCTAACCCCCTTAGAGGCTGACTTTGTTCAGGATAGTGAGGTTTGCAAGAACTATGCTGAGGCAAAGGATGTTTTCCTGGGCACGTAAGTAGACCATTCCGTTTTTATAGAATTGCGTCATTCAGGAAGATGGACTCTCCTTATGCAATGAACATAATTTCATGGGGCCCTAAATGTTTTTTCCATGTCCTTCTCCCAAGCTTTCAAAGTTTGTTTAAAAAGTTAACTAATTTTAAAATACTGTCATCTTCTAATTTAGTAGTTTATGAAGTTTGTTTCAAAAAAGGTAATTGATTTAAAATAATGACTTTTTCCCCCCAGTCCTGGGCTTGAACTCTAGGCCTTTTGTGCTCAAGGCTCGCATTCTACCACTGAAGCTACAGCTCCACTTCTGTCTTTTTGTGGTTAATTGGAGATAAGATTCTCACAAACTTTGCTCCTGAGCTGGCTTTGAACTGTGATCTGCTTCTGGCTTCCTGAGTAGCCTGTACCAGGCTCATGTTTTAAATTAATACACCATGCTTCAAGTAGAAGATCTTTGTACCTTAGGATTAGTTTTGGAAATATCTCTATCAATATTTTCTGCATATTATAAATTATGTTTATATGCATTCATTTCTTTATTTAATCTAAGGGTATCTCCAAAACATCTAAAGATTATAATGCAAAAAATAGTGCCTACTAGTCATCTATCTAGTATCTATATATCTATATCTGTCCATTAATATGAAGACAAGAAAGATGTAGGAAAAGCAATATATAACATGGCACCAGATGGTTCACAGTTAGTTAAACAGGCTATATTTTCAGTTCTATGGCAGAATACAAATGATTATATGTTGCAAGTAATTATAGCAATAAACTTTACATTTTCAGTGTTTAATTATTGTATTCTGTGTGCTAAGGTAATATTTACTATAATTATGTTCCCTAACATATTTTGCTCAAATGGAGAGTGAAAAGGAAAATTTTAGAATGATGGAAGGAATAATATTGATCAAGATGCATTGTACTCATAAAGTGACATTGAATTGAAACCCCCTTTGTACAACTACTTTGATAATAATAATAATAAAATTAAAAGATTATCTTTATTGTAGCATCTATTTGAAATGTAGTCCAAATCAAACTAATTTTGCAGAAAACAACAAGCAGTATTCTTCAAATATTTAATATGTGCCAGGTAGTGTATTTGTTTTCCACAGATTATGTGGTTTGTGCCTCACTATGCTAACTACTATCATCCTCAGTGTATTTATGAGGAAATGAAGTTTCTATTAGTTTATAGGAGTTGCTTAAGATAACAAATTAGAATGATGGTCAAAAGAAGAATTTGAACTCAAGGAGCCTTAAACTAGGGACCTCAAGTTTCTTTCTTTCTTTGTCACTAGGCTTTGCTGCATGGGGATTAAGCAAATATTTGTTGCATGGGAATATGACTTACTTTGGAATATTAGATATTTCTGAGGTTAATTTAGGTGACTTTTGTTACCCATTTGTTCACCGAAATCCATGTGCATCTTAATTAGGTTCCTGTATGAGTATTCAAGAAGGCACCCTGACTATGCTGTCAGTATGCTGCTAAGACTCGCCCGGAAATATGAAGCCGTACTGGAGAAATGCTGTGCTGAAGCTGATCCTCCTGCATGCTATGGCAAAGCGGTAGGTCCTTTGTAACAAAGCAAACATGTAACTGTTAGGTGATTCCAATAATGAGAAAGCAAAACAGTGCAAGGTCTAGTCAGTTCAGTGTTCTTAAATATTCTGGGGAAACTATCCTAAATAGGGTAGTTCATGAATCATAGAATCATTGGTCTAGAAAATAAAGATACAAAGATAGCAATTTCCAATTTCACAAAACTTTGACCATTCATTTTTTTCTTTTCCCTTATATGCTTGAGACAAAAAAATCAGAAAAAATAAGTTAAATATAAACCAAGAGATTTAACTTAGTTATCCAGAAATTTAACTGATCCCAAAGTTATCAGAGAAGGTTTTGAAGTTTTTTTTTTTTTTGGTCTGGTCGTGGGGCCTGAACTCTGGGCCTGGGCTCTGTCCCTCTCTTCAGCTCAAGGCTAGCGCTCTACCACTTGAGCCACAGCGCCACTTCTGGCTTTTTTCTTTTTGCTTATGTGGTGCTGAGGAATCGAACCCAGGGCCTCAGGCATGCAAGGCAAGCGCTCTACCACTGAGCCACCTTCCCAGCCCCGGTTTTGAAGGTTTTGAAGTCTTTCTTTTCAATATTCTTTCAGTTTTCAAAACTTTCCACATTCAATGTTCTTTCAATATTCAGGATCTGATATTCTTTACAATATTTAAAATCTTCTTGAGATGGTTTAGGAATCTTTTTGTGGATAATTAGGTAGGAAGAAACCTCTTCTACAGCATTTTATGGATATAATGGTTTCAAAATAATCAGAAATAAGAAGAGACCTATTCATACTAAGAAGCTACTGACTGTCAGGTACTACAGTGCACCTGATGCTGATGATATTTTCTCATCTTGGAGAGCTCAGGACCAACTACATAGATGGGCTAATGATTTTAATAAAAATATTGTTACCTGTCATTTAATGAAGTTTTACATTGACCTATGTGTTTTAATTTATTAGCTTAGTGGATTTATAGACCAAATTTGGGAGGCCAGGACTATCTTTACCTCCATTGCTTAGATAGGATTCTGAAACTTGGAGATGGTATATGAAGTTGCTCAAACTAGAAAGTATGCATATGATCTGGCTAAATGCTAGCCACTGCAATCCACAATCTGAATATTCTTAACTATTTGCACTCAGCAATCTCAAGCAATAAAAACAACTGGAAAGTAATGTGATGGATGTAATGTGTTTGGGGGCAGAAAGGAGGAAGGGCTGAAATAGGATCTTTCAGTTTTGCTATAAACACAATTCTTTTATATTCTAGTTTGAAGAACTTAAGCCTCTTGTGGAAGAGCCTCAGAATTTAGTCAAAGATAACTGTGAGCAGTTTGAGCAGCTCGGAGAATATAAATTCCAGAATGCGTAAGTGATTTTGTTATTTGCTAGTTTTTTCTTGATCAATTGTTTCCTAAGTCAGTAAGTAGGCTATATGCCATGTGCTATTTATTTATTTATTATTTATTTATTGCAGGTACTAGAGCCTGAACTCAAGGCCCAGACTAGTACTATACCATTTCAGCCATAGCTTCACTTTCCTTGCTAGTTAACTGGAGCTGAGTTTACAGGTTTTCCTGCCTACACTGGCTTCAAACTGCAGTCCTCCAATTGTAGCTGGGATTACAAGTGTGAGCCATCTGCACTTGAACAGCATGTATCTTTTAATAGGAAAGATACATTATGTATTTTGAATATCTCTTTATTCAGGAATTCTTGAGAGTAGTGATCAAATAATTTACAGGAGGGAGAAGCCTAAACCTGTGCAGAGTATAATAAAACTGAATTTTTGGGTCTGAGAATATGTAGGTCAAGGATTGATACAAAGTTTGATACATCAGAACTGAGGATGTCCCTTGAACGTTAAGAGAGACTTTATGAGGAAATACGTTATAGCACAATTTTGCTGAGTAGGCAGTACCACAATAGTTTAGACACAGCTAAACACAAATATATAGCAAAGAGATTTAGATACATGTGTGAATATTCCTATTTGAGGAAAGTGATATTTGAGAGATATACCTAGACTTTTATGGTTATAACCTGTTTTCCTATGGCATTTACTACCTAGAAGAGATAGAAACTTAGTAATTTGATGGAATAATATTCCAATTCATTACCACATTCGGGTGAAAGTAAAATCCAGATGTCATAAGGACCATCACATTCATGGCAGTTCATATACATAGTTTGAATTCTTCCTACTATAGATGTTAGGGATAACAAAAGTGACCAACTCCTTCAGAGTAGATTGCAGTCATGTACATTGACCTTCATTGGTGATATTCTTTACAAGCAATTCATATATGTCTGATAAATTCCTAGGTTACCTGCATATTGTATTTCTTTAAGTTTAATTGAGGTCTCATGTCTACTGAGTAAAATATACTTCCTCCCAGTTTATTTTACATCTTCAAAGTTGATTACAGTGCTCATATGTGTTATGCATCTAATAGAATTTATTGGAAAAACTAAGTAATAATAACTATGGGAACCTAACTATAATAAGTCAACTCACTTTTCTAAGATTATAATAGAGATCTGAGATGAAGAGTTTATTGTACAGTTTGGTATACAAGGCCACATTCCAGTAGTTACTCAGAAAAGGTCTTCCAAGACTGACATCTACTTTGGAGATGAATATAATTAGATAAACTTAAAAATAAAATTATATCAGTTGATCTTAGCTGAATTTTCTCTTCTTCATGTATTATATTAGAACATAACATTTTCTTGTCCAGATAGAAACTGTGGACTGTTTCTTTTAAATAGGCTTGTAGTTCGTTACACCAAGAAAGCACCTCAGGTGTCGACTCCAACTCTTGTAGAGGCTTCAAGAAACCTAGGAAAAGTGGGCACCAAGTGTTGTAAACTTGCGGAAGCACAGAGACTGCCTTGTGTTGAAGACTATGTGAGTTTTTGAGAATATCATAAAGTTAATAATTATGATTTGTTTGCCTTTAGCTAGTGATAAATGTAACTTTCAGAGGCAGGTGTGGACTAACCTGTGTGTATCTGTATGTGTAAGTAATGTGTGTTTATAGTATTTCCAACAGTCTGAACTTGTTTACCTATATTATCCTGACTCCCAAGTTTAGGATTTAGTTAAGATAACAGAGGCAATAACTTGTTTTGAGTAAAAAGAGTCAATTCTCAGTGTTATTTCTTCAATTTTCAGTTTCTTTTTTTATAATTTAATTTTATTGTCAAGGTGATGTACTAAGGGGTTACAGTTACATATCTAAGGTAGTGAGTACATTTATTGTCTGATTGTGTCAGTATAAGACTAAATCTTCCTCACTCTAACACATTTTGAGCCTGTATCATCTCAAATGATTTTCTTAAACTATTCTAAATATGTAGAGGTATTACAAACAAAGATGATTGTGTGTGTGTGTGTGTGTGTACACTTGTGCACATTACTCTGGACCTCCTGCTCTCAGCTTTTGTGGTCATGGCTGGTGCTCTACCACTTGAGCAACACTGCCTCAATCAACTTTGGGTTCAAAGTTGTAAGTTTACATGGCACTATGTTTAGAAAATGAATGTTGATGGAGCATTTTCAACTTTGCTTCTTTTGAAGCTATTTGTGCTTTTCCCCTGCTCTTTAGCTGTCCCTGGTGCTGAACCGGTTCTGTGTGATGCATGATAAGAACCCAGTGAGTGAGAGAGTCACTGAATGCTGCAGTAAGTCTTTGGTGAACAGGCGACCTTGCTTCAGTGCACTGGCAGTGGATGAAACCTATGTTCCCAAAGAGTTCAACGCTGAAACGTTCACCTTCCATGCTGACTTTTGCACACTTCCAGAGACGGAGCAACAGCTCAAGAAACAAATGTGAGTGGTATTTCATCACTGCATGTTTGTAGATTTCATAGATGTCAATTGAACAGTGTTTTTTCTGATATAGTGATTATAGTCCTTAAATAAAGTATTCAAGTATTTGGCCTTATTAACATGACAAAAGTTTCAAGAATACAATGGGTGGTTACAATATTGACAACGAATAATTAGGATAATACTGTGACTAAAAACCACAGTAGGATAAAATCGTAGAATAGACTGGTAGAAAAGCTGTGAAACAAACCTATGAATTTGTGATGATAGAAAATTAATTGTAGAAATCATAGAAGAATTTTTTTCTAGTCATGAATGATCATGTGAAGTTGATACCATAGGCAAGATTTTGTCTTTTGAGAATGATTTTGAGAGTGATTTGCTAAAAAAATATAAAAATGTAAAATTTGAGAATCAGTATCTTTTTACTGTCATGAAGTTTAGCATATTCTGAAATTAACAGCAGAAAAACTTTTGTTATCTTTGGTGGCCTGTTATCAGGATCAGACTTAAAAGTAAAAGTAATAATATAAAATTCATGGTGTTCTCTGTCTGTCTGTCTGTCTGATTTGAGAGTTTTCTCTTTTATGTGGTTTCCTGAGAATTTTCTAAACCAAAGTGGACATTAAATTTTACCTTGTTTACACATGTTCTTCTGTGAGAACCACCAGCTTCCCCTCTTTTGGGTAGTGTTATTTCTTGTAGCCTCCCAGATATTAATTTTGAATATCAAACACGAATACTTTCACAGAAGAAAGATCTTAAATGAAGTCTAAATTAATTAAAAATTTTAAGCATCAGCTTAGCACTGGTGGCTCACCCCTGTAATCCTAGCTGCTCAGGAGGCTAAGATCTGAATATCATAGCTGTAAGTTAGCCTAGACAGGAAAGTCTGTGAGATACTTATCTCCACTGAAACACCAAAAAAAGCTAGAAGTTAAGCTGTAGTTCAAGTGATAAAGCATGAGCCTCAAGTGAAAATTTTCAGGGACAGTATTCAGGACTGGAGCTCAAGACCTCCCAGATTAGTAAACAAAATTAAGCATTATTTTGATTTATTAAGTAGCTATAAAATTCACTATGGCATTACTTCTAAGTCTGAGTAATATCTAAGTGCAGTTTGAGTAATATCTAAATGTCAATTGTTGGAAACTTCCTTAAATACTAAGTGGCTTGCATTGATTTTTTCATTTAATCCTATCCCCAAGCCTAGTAGAGTGGATTTTAATACAGTACTATATGGAGGAGAGGATGAGGTAACAGTGAATGCCTTAGTCTCATCTATAGTAGCTTGGCTCCAAGATTTGTAGTCTTCATTGATGGTATTGCCATCCTTACCATCTCTACTTTTCTTTAAATGAGTAAACTGATTCCTCTGTTTCTCCTTTTTGTGTTCAAACACAGAGCAATTGCAGAGCTGGTGAAACACAAGCCTACTATAACAAAAGAACAACTGACTGCTGTTTTGGGGAAAGTTGCAGCTTTACTGGAAACTTGCTGCAAGGCTGCTGACGTAGAGGCCTGCTTCTCTGAAGATGTACGGGAGTTGTTCTCCTTATTATGTCTAATTTCCATTTCTGGGCTTAGGGCTTAGGCCTTTATGTACTGAAGGGCATGCAGAACAGAGAGCTGATTTGACATACAGTCATCTTACACAGGAGTTCTTGGCTTTTAACTCCTGTTGTGCTGTATGTAGCATAGTGTTAAATATTTATAATGCCTTATCTGTTCCAAGTTTGTGATGCTTATGCATATAGAGGGAAGTATCTGTATAGTCTTATATATTTTGATCAGTGAAACAAATTAAGTGTGTCTTTATACTTAAAAGTGCTTTGAGTTTGTGGTTAAAATTTACTAGGTAAGATTTACAAATATCTGAATTATTTGCTATTCTTCCCTCCTCAAAGCCTAACAGTAATTTTTCATTCCTTTTTGGATTTGGCTGTGAGACAGATTCCTTCCATAAATCCTGATAGTAAGCTGAAAGTAAAGACTGTGACTCATGTGACATCATTTTTGTATACACCAATTAATATGTAAATTATAGTTAAAAATTCTGATATGAATGATATTATTTTCTGAACATCTGTTATTCCTTTGTCTTCAGGGTCCAAAGGTGGTTGCTGCAAGTCAAGCTGCCTTAGCCTAAAATCCCACAACCACAAGCAGCTCAGGTGATTATACTCTTGCTTTGAAAACAGAAACCTACTGATTATAGTTATCATTGTCAAATTGTAAACATTGGCCATTTGCCAAGACTCATATAAACAACCGCTAGCCACTTTTCCTAGCTTGTTCTATCTATATTGATTCATTAAAACTCAAAATAGTAGTCATATTGGTAGTCATTATTATTTCCTTTTTTTTAGATGAGAAAAGAGCGTGTAGATAAAGACCTAGGTGAAGTAATTTACCCAAAGAACAACCGCTCTAGTGGGAAGAGGAGCTAACGTTCATTTCAACCTCACCCTTAAACATTAACCATTGTCTTACATAAGGTCATGGTGTGATCCATGAACCACCCAATGAACCATCACTGGAGTAGTATAGGTACTAGCTGACTTATATGAAAGGGCTTTTATTTAGGCCAAAAAGCAGCTGAAGAGAAAGTATTTCATATGACTCAAATAAGTATTTCCCAAATATAGATTATTGGGGGATATGATGAATTTATTTCAAGTGAGTAATATTATTAAAACTTTATTTAGAATCTGCACCAAAGCCTGGAATAGCTGCTGTGCATCTCTCAACCTTTAGTCCTATGATAATGTGATTTCCTCCCATCCTAAGTGGGAAGGTAGCCTTCCTAGATTTCTTACATTCACAATTTGCAATAACTTAGACAAGCAGCAAGTAGTTAGAGAATAGCTCTGAGGAGACATGAGCCCTTATTGGAAGCTTGAGGAGGCAGAAGGCTCCTGCTGTGATGTGCTGAAGAGAATACATTACATTTGTCCCTGTGTCCTCAGCCTAGACCAGCAGAAGAAGAGCTAAGTTAAGGCTAGGACAGGCTTAAGTTGCTTTCCTTGGTTTAAATGGCAGAAAAACAATCAAAGCAATTCAGAATTTTTCCTTAACAGATGTGGAAAATACAAGCAGCACTTAATATTTCTCATTTTGTTTTTCAGTCTACCCTGAGAAAAAGAAAAAGAGAAATGGAGACTCAAAGCTTATCATCTGCTTTTCTTTTCTGTTGATGTAAAATCAACACTATCCAAAAAAACATAAATTCTTGAAATATTTGACTTCTTCCCTCCGTACTTCAATAAAAATGAAAAGTCTAATACTGTTGTCCAGGATTGTCATTTTCCAAATATGTGTTTTCATCCTGAAAATTTTGTACACTCTGTGAGAGTTTCATTTTTTTCATTTATTCTACTTCTTACAAATCAATTAGACTTATATCTTCATCTAATCACCAAAAAGATACTGGAAGCATGGGTCAAATAGCAGAGACTGGGTCTTCTACCACTCACTGCTGTGAGCAAAAAAGCCAAGTGAGAGTATGAGTTCAAGCCTAAGTATTAACAAAAAATAAAATAAAACAAAAATACCAACCAAACTCCAAACAACAACAAAATCAACCAACCATCAACTTACCAATCATCAAACAAACAAAACCTTCCCATAATAGACCGGCCTTATGACCTTTGCTAACTATTCTGTTCTTCCAAAGGATTTATCATTATACAAGAGAGATACTTGCACAGTCATGTTTATCATAGCACTAGTAGCAAAAACCAAGAATACCACTATCTAGTGAATGGTTAAATAAAATATGATGTGTGAATATATAGTATCTATCTATCTATCAAATGCATGTACATATATATGTATGTACAATGGATTACTATTCAGTCATAATGAAAAAATGCTACTCATTCAAGCTGAATGAGAGAATGATGCACTGAATACAAGCTCCAAGCCCCAACACTAGAACAAACCAAACAAACAAACACACCCCCAAACAAAAAAGAACGTTATTATGTTATTTGAAAGAAGAAAGAAAAACTGGGAATCATACTTAGAGAGAGAAGCTAAGCTCTGAAAGGCAAATATCACATGTTTTCATTTATATATATATATATATATATATATATATATATATATGCAGCGTAAATGGAATGATGGCTATGATGGTAAATAGTAATAATGTACATGTATATAGAAGTAGACTGGTGGGAAGGAAGTGGGATAGAGAATAGCAAAGGACAAGGTGCTAGGGGTTGAACAGGATCAAAGTATATTACATATATGTGTGATGGCAGTGTAACAACATATTAAATACTGTTGGAAAAAGGCAGGCATGAGGGATGGTGGTGAAGGGAATAGCATAGAGTGGGTGAGATTGTTCAAATAACAGTTCATACATTCATAGAAACATCAAATGAAACCCCCTGATACAATTTTTGTATGCTAACAATGACAAAAATTATTTTCTCAGCTTTGAAGGCTGGAGAGATTAAGATCCAGTTTGTAACAAAGTTGAACTTCTGGTGATGGCTTTCTTCTTGGCTCACCTACAACCTTCTTTTTGCTGTGTCCTTCATCACAGGGAGAGCAGGAACTTTGGTACTATTTTCACCCTGACTGCCTATTCTCTACTTTTCCAAAACAACTGTCACTAAGTACAGTGCATTAGGGGTTTAGGACTTCAACATAAAAACCTTATGAGTCTGGTTGGCAATGGCTCATGCCTGTAATCCTACCTATTCAGGAAGGAAGCTGAGACCTAGGACCATAGTTTGAAGCCAACAAGAACAGGAACGTTCTTACCTTTAGTTATCTAACAAAAAGCTGGAAGTAGAGCTGAGCCTCAAGTGACAGAACACCATCCTTTAGAAAAAATGCTAAAAGAAAGCACCCAGGCCTTGAGTTTAAGCAATTTTGGGAAAGCCTAAACATTTGTCCATTGCAAAATCTCTGGATAAAAAAAGGGAGTTTCTGACTTAACAACTGGCTACCACTCAACTCTACTAAGTGCTATGATTTGAATGTATGTATCCCTTTAAAATTAATATGCAGTGACCTAATACCCATGTGGTTTAAGAAGTGATGAAGTCATAAGACCTCTGCATTCACCAGTGGGTTAAGGCTTTTACCAATGAGGTCATGGGTGGTGGTATAGTCCCTTTGCTTTTACCTGCCCTCTGCTTTGTGGAGATACACAGGGCCATCTTTGAAGAATTGCCTTTGACCAGATAGGATTTCCTGGCATCTTGTTTTTGGATGTTCTAGCCTTGAGAACAGAGATAAACATGTCTATGATTTATAAATTTCTTAGTCTCAGGTATTTTGCTAGAGCAGCACAGAGAAAGACATGGAGGAAAAGAAGTGTCAGCAATGATAGTGATGATGGCCCTAAAGCCATCTTATCCATTCATGAGTATGGAGTTCTTAACCTACCCAAGTGTCCTTCCTGTCACTCTCACATTGGATATTAGACAAAGAATTTATAAGGAACATTCCCTTAGGTATTTCTTACACGGTGTCACTGCTGTAAAAACTTGGGAGAGATTGACTCTATATGAAAAATCATCAGAAGACAAATATTTAGCAAAGAATATTTCTGTGTAACTATTGTTTTAAGAATTTTAGGAGAAATTCTCAACACACATTTCCCTTAAGTATGCTATAATTTTTATAAGGACCCTATTTATAAGCACCCATACCTGCCTATCAGAATCAGCTAGCACAGTTAAGGGAACATGCTGTTAATGGAACATACATACATATTTTGTGAAATTAATTTTCAGTTGGTGTTCCACAAGTTTTTTGCTCTCTCCCTGACTCACATTGATATTCTATCAGGCTTATTGACCTTGAAATACTTCTGCTTTTTAAAATTTAATAGGCAGATTGGTTGCCTAAACACACACACACACACACACACACACACACACACACACACACAGTAGAAGATCTACCTGGTGAGATCTCTTTACTTAATCATGAGGAGGACTATTATTATTATCATTTTATAGATGATGAAATAAACCCCAGATTAAATTATTTGCCTAATATTATATGGCTAATAATTGGTAAAGCCAAGAGTAAAACCTTTGTGGTTATAGTAGGCCAAGTTTTAATATGCCATATTGTCACTTGGTAGTTTCATGGATTTATGTAAAGGCAAAAGAATCAGAGGAACGGAAAATTGTATGTTGTGAACTCTGCACTTTGGACTAAACCTTGGACAATTACACATATGGATTTAGGCTTGTTTGTAGTTAAATACTTCCCAAAGTTATAGAACAAATAAACGACAGGGCAAATAGTCCAACCTAGTCTACAAATCCACATGCTTAACCATGACTGCCCTGCTTTATGTGTACATGTTATTTGGAATTCTATGTGGATTTATGAATGTTTGTGATATTTAAATAATTACAGTTTGGTATATAACATCTGTTTTCCGGATGTTATAAATTTCCCCTCAACCTTTGGATAGATGAGGGAAATGGCTTATCCAGCCATGAAGCCAGCGATGTGTGTAGTGATTATCATAAAAACTAAAAGAGAATTTGTAAAGTTATAAAGATCTCTGAGTAGCTAGGTGTGATAGCACACACCTGTAATCTCAGCATTTTGAAGGATGACATAGAGGAGGATACCAACTGTAGGCCAGTGTTGGGTACACAAAATTCCAAGCAGCCTGGGTTTTAAATACGTTTTTTTGTATTGTAAAAATACTGTACAGAGGGGTTACAGTTACATGAGCAAGGCAATGAGTACATTTCTTATCAAGCACTGTTGTCTCCTCATTTGTTTTTCCCCTACCATCCCTTGCCTCCCATCTCCACAACTACACTCCCCCTTCTCCTGCCTAAATTGTAAAGTTTGTTTTTCGACATAGCTTCTTGTACATCTCATTGTTGCAATGGGTCAACCTGTATCCCTGTTTAAACAATTTGTTTTTTTCCCTTCCCCTCCCCAAATTATACTAACATGAAATACAGTGAAAACAGGGGTTATACCACGGGGAGGTATATACAAAGCAACAAAAAAATCATGTGGTACCTTATAAATACATTAGAAGCAATAACAAGAACGAAAAAAACCACTTGTGTCTTTATCTTGGGGTTCATTTCACTTAACATCAACTTATCTGACCTTTTCTGCTTGACTCAGACATATACTAGTTATTGCAAATAAGGGAAACCATGGGACCTGTGATTCTTTGGGCCTGGCTTACTTCACTTAATATAATTTTTTCCAAGTCTTTCCATTTCCTAACAAATGAGGCAATGTCGTTCTTCCTGATGGAGGCATAGAATTCCATTGTGTATATAGATTATATATATATATATACATATATATATATATATATCACATTTTCTTGATCCATTCATCTACTGAGGGGCATCTGGGTTGGTTCCATATCTTAGCTATGGTAAATAATGCTGCAATTGGTCTTGTTTGTGATCATTTGGGTAAATGCCCAAAAGTGGGATTGCTGGTCATAGGGGAGCTCTATGTGGAGTCTTTTGAGGAACCTCCATACTACTTTCCAAACTGTTTGAACAAGTTTACACTCCCACCAACAATGCAGTATGGTTCCCTTCTGGCCACATCCCCTCTAGCATCTGTAGTGATTACAGTTCTTGATTATAGCCATTCTAACTAGGGAGAGGTGGAGTCCCAATGTGGTTTTGAATTGCATTTCTTTTATGGCTAGAGAGGTTGAGCATTTCTTCCTGTGTGTATTGGCCATTCTTATTTCCTCTTCAGAAAAGTTTCTCTTTAAGTCTTTTGCCCACTTATTTAGTGTGCAGTTGTTTTCTTTGAGCCCCATTTACTAAAGAGGCTGTCTTTCTTCCATTCTATTTTTTAAGCCCCTTTATCAAAGATTAGGTGGCTATAGAGCTGTGGGTTCATTTCTGGATTTTCAATATTTTCAATACTATTCCATTGGTCCTGAGATCTGTTCTTGTGCCAGTACCAAGCTGTTTTGATTACTATGGCTTTATAATAGAATTTGAAATTTGGTATTGATATTCTTCCAGCACTGTTCTTTCTGTTCAGGATCGTTTTTGCTATTCGGGGTCTTTTATTGTTCCATATGAATATTTGGATTGCCTCTTCTATTTCCTTGAAGAATGAGGTAGTAATATTGATAGATATCACCTGAGTTTGTTTTTAAGATAAAAATAAAAAGATTCTTAA